TGGAAGAATGAATATATAACATGTAAAAAGTCCTAGGTTCACTCAGTCCTTAGTGCTGCCAAAAGACAAAAACTATATCAATAACAACTATAAAGTTAAGTCATACCTATAGAAGGAAATTTGAACTATTAGAAAATTCATTTTAAACTACCAGGCACAGTGAAACATGCCTGTTCCCCACTACAAGGGAGGCTGAAATAGGAAGTGCACTTGAAATGATTTGTCTATCGGCCTAGCAACATAGAAAGATCAATCCTGTTTCAAATAAAAAATAAATACACAAAGAAAATGTGGCGTGTGTGTGTGTGTGTGTGTGTGTGTGTGTGTGTGTGTGTGTGTGTGTGTGGTTTTGTTTTCTGAGACAGGGTTTCTCCATGTGTAACAGCCCTGGCTGTCCTGGAACTCACTTTGTAGACTAGGCTGGCCTTGAACTCAACAGTGCTCTGCCTGCCTCCTGAGTTCTGGAATTAAAGGCATGTGCCACCACCAACACCTGGCATGCATATATATTTAATATCATGCAATTCATCATTTTGTGGGGGAGTTGAGATACGATGCCATGTACCCTGGGCTGGCCTTCAATTTGCTTATAGCTGAAGCTGACATTGAATTCTTGATCCTCCTGCCTTTCTGCCTGGAACTGTCAAGTTTGGGTATTATCGATATATGCCCTGCTGTGAAGCAAGCTTATGAGTCAACCCTAAAACAGAAAAACATATTCTGTTAGGCACAGACACACATGCATCTCTGTACACATGCACATGTACACCACAGAGATGGGGGAGTGGGGACAGAGCCCAAACAAATCCATTTATATTATAAAACTTGGTCTCCTTAGGTAGATCTCTACAGCCATCTTCTGGCTCACTTGCATGACTGACTTACATATCACCGTCAGATCCTGGATCCAGCTGTTCATCATCCACTACAACATCAGAGGCTATTTCTGCCTCTTCCTGGTCTGCTTGAGGAAGCTGTGGTTTTATCATTCCTACTGAAAGAAACAGAGGTAGACTCATCTGTGCACTGGATGAACAACATACACCCACAGTCCTACAGTGAATGCCATTCATGATGGCAAAACAAGGTGCTGACAGGGATGCCAAAAGAAACATGCTGTGGTTTGGATGTGAAATGTCCCCCACAGGCTCAAGTATTTGAACACTTAGACCCCAGCTAGTGGCACTATGTGGTGACATTGTGCAACCTTTGGGAGGTGGATCCTGAATAGGGAAAGTGGGTTGCTAGGCAAAGAGCCTTGAGTTTTATAGTCCTGCCCTGCTTCCTGTCCCATCTCTGCTCTCTGGTGCACTAAGATGTATGCGAGCAGCTGCCACATGCTCCTGACACCACAGAGACATCTTCTTCCATGCCTTCCTGGATGGACAGCAGCTCCTCAAATCATGAACCAAAAGTCCTTTGTCCCTTAAGTTGCTTCTTGTTGAGTATTTAGTATCAATGATGAGAAAAGCAATTAATGCAATATTCAGTTGTTTGGTGCTGTACTAAAAGTAGGCAACACAAGAAAAAAAATGAGTATCATGATAAGGTTCAGACAGGAAGAGACAAAATTACCCCATTTGAAGGTTGCATAAAAATTTTAAAAGTATGAGTATCAAAACTTAAGACCTGCCAAAATTGAACCCATCCTTAAAAACTTCGCTTTACTGAAATAATTTAAGTCATGCAGTCATTTTCTTGGAATCCTCAAACCCATTTCTAACAGGCTGTCTCAAACACAAGGTATTCCAGCCTCTACTTCCAAAATGCTAGGGCCATAGTTATACAGCACCATGCCTGACCTATGCTTGATGCCCCCAGAATGAATTTAGTGTAAACTTCCTAGGGAAAAAGTTAAACAATAACACAGATGTAAACATCCCAGGAGAAAGTTAAACTGTAACAAAGGAAATTATATTTTGATTCAGCGGAAAATAAATCACTTAGTAATGAATCTAAACAAAGATGAAGAATCATATGGTAGCCATTTTGAGTCAATTAAGAAAATCTGATAATAAAAATATAATATGGATTAGTCAGGTGCGGTAGTACATGCCTTTAATTCCAGCACTCAGGAAGCACAGGCACAGAGTGTGTGTGTATCATGTGAGATTATATATATATATAGTGTGTGTATCATGTGAGATTTTATATATATATATATATATATATAGAGAGAGAGAGAGAGAGAGAGAGAGAGAGAGAGAGGAAGTTATATAATCTATAACATAGGGGGAGGAAGGAAGGAGAGTAGAAAAATATATAGCTGAATAAAAACAGTAAAAAATGAAAAATAATATATAACATATAGTATATATTGTATCTGTATGTAATGATGTGTGCTTGTCATCCTAGCTACTCAAGAAGCAGGAAGATCACTAGTGCCTATAAGCTTGACGTTTTCTTGGACAACACAAAGATTCTGGTGAGAAGGAAGGGATGGGTGTTGCTTTAAAAATGAAGACCATGGGGCTGGAGAGATGGCTCAGAGGTTAAGAGCATTGCCTGCTCTTCCAAAGGTCCTGAGTTCAATTCCCAGCAACCACATGGTGGCTCACAACCATCTGTAATGAGGTCTGGTGCCCTCTTCTGGCCTGCAGGCATACACACAGAATATTATATACATAATAAATAAATAAATATTTAAAAAATAAAAATGAAGACCACTCAGGAGGTAGAGGAAGATGGATCCCTGTGAGTTCAAGGCCAGCCTGGTCTACATAACAAAGAGTTCCAGGCTATCCAGCTGTCCAGAGCTACAAAGTGGCGTGTACTCTTTAAAAACAAAATACAGTGGAAACAAAACAAAACGAACTATTGTTGGTTTGCATTCTCATTACCCATAGGAAAATAAGGTGAGCCCCTGAATACCTATCAGATGAGCAATGCTAGATTTAGTTGCCACCTTCAAATGCTACACAAAATTATGCCTCTGTCCTTGGAAGTTCATGCCATTTGTCACATCACTTGGAAACAGCTTGGTTTGAGAGCAAATCAGACAAGGCAAGACATGTTCCCAGTTCTCTCGCAAGCCAAATATACTGTTAGCACCTTTTTGCACTCATAAAACATCGACATAAGTCCATGGGGGTAGCAGTAGCTTAGTAAGAAATAAACTACATACCAGGCTCTCCTTTCCTGGTTGACAGTGAACTGCTGCAGGCATGGGCTGCTGCCAAAGCACTCGAGGTCCCTGGTACATACCACCACTGCTTCCCACTTTCTGGACTACCTTCCATCACAACAACTTGGCCATCTATAAAGGATACTACATTAGCAAACATAAAGGTGCTTCTTTGTTCAGTTTCTCTAAGACCATAAAATGTTAGAACCATGGATGTAATCACATACCCCATTTTATTAATAAAGAAACCAGCATAAAAGCAACTTTACTGCCTTTTTGTCATGTGTTGATGAGAAGAGTCATATCTTACTGTGTGCACTGGGATGAGTTTCCATGTGCTTATTTTTTAAGCTGAGTTCACCCGTGGTCTTCCAGAATTATAAGTCAGCTCATATACTACATTAACTCACTTTCATGATACACACTTATCTCTTGGCACCCAAAGCAGATTAATTAGAATGCATCCAATGATATAAAAATCTGTGCATGTGGGCTCGAGAAATGGCTTAGCAATTGAAAGCACTTGCAGCTCTTGGAGAAGATTCAAGTTTGCTTCCCACATGGTCTCTTTCAACCACCTGTAACTCCAGCTTCAGGGAGATGCTAATGGCTGGTCTCCACAGACACTTCTCATGTGTATATCCACACACAGACACAATGGTCCATAATTAAGGGTAATAAAAGTAAAATATTTTCAAATATGTGTATGATTCAATAGTTTATAGGCAATAGGCACTATTTGCATAAAAGCTATGCACACCTTCCCACATACTTTTATAGGAGTGGGGATGAGACAGTGTCTCATGCAGTTTACACTAGCTTTGAACTGTCTATGTACCTGAGGGTGATCTTGCACTCCTGATACTCCTGGTCTCCATCTTTCCCTCCCACATGTGCCACCATGTCTAATGGCCAGCACACTTTATTCTTTAAGACTTAATTATTATTATTTTTAGCAATTATGTGTATATGTGTGAGGGTGTTGGTTTGTGCATGTGGTTGCAGTACTCAGGAGGTCAGAAGAAGGGGTTAGGTCTCCTACAGCTCAAGTTACATGTTACCACAGTTGGGTGCTGGGAACTGAGCTGCTGAGCCATCTCTCCAGCCTATTCCATAGGCTTTAAATCAACTCTAGGTGACTTGCCCAGCATAACACAATGCAAATGCTGCACAGTCATTGTTATACTGCACTACTTAGGGAACGAGGACAAGAAGACATCCGTTTGTGTTCAGCATAGACAAAGCTTTTGTTCTGAATATTTCCATTTGGGATAATTGAGTCCAAGGACATGGATGGCTGTTCACTCACCTTATACCGTGGTTTTAAACTTTAACCTGTTCTCAGGGTTATGCGATAAGAAGGAACAAAGGAAGTGAGCAATAAAAAAAAACCTCCCTGTTTATTAAGATGACTTCCAAGGGCTTGGGGTTGAGTCAGTAGTGAAAACTCCTTGTTGCATAAACATGACCACCTGTTTGCTGGAGCTTGACCTGTGCATGCTAGACGAGCTCTTGACAGCAGAGTTGCATCCCTAACCCGAAGACCAATTTTATTACTGAGGGGTAAAAGAAATCGTCGATGAAATGACAAGGCTCTAATTAGGCTGGTGTGGGAATTAAGTCCAGAAGACACCCTCCTTGTCTCCCCTCTCTCACTTCAGGAAAGACGGCAGGTGTGGTTTTCTTCCTTTCCTTTTGCATGACCAGCATCATCAACCGCTAGGAAGCCAAGTCTCAACTTGATTCTCCGGATGCCCAAACAATGTCTGTGTCAAATGTTTAGTGACTGAGAAGTGACAACTATTCCAATACGGTGTGTGCTGGCAGCACAGCTGTGCCGGGCCCCCGGGCCAACGCTAACTGACCCAAGACTCACCCTCAGGCATGGTGGGGCAGGTGGAGATGACATCCGCTGTCGCCATTATTTGCAGCAGAGTCTGAGGTGCTCGGGCATCCCACCTCCGCCTGTTCTCCACAGAGACCATCTCAGAAAAGTGGCAGCCCTCTGGGTGTAAGACAATAGCTCATTAGTTCCGGGGCAGCCAGGGAATGACAACAGCAGCACCGAGCAATTCTTAGGTACTGTCCCCATTTGCTTTCTGTTGCTGTAACAAACACCATGCCAAAAGCAGCTGTTGGAGGAAAGGGTTTATCTCATCTTACAGCATGAAATACTTCCTCACAAAGGAAGTCACGGCAGGAGCTCCAGGCAGGCACTGAAGCAGAGGCCATGGAAGAGTGCTGTTCTCAGCTCACATTCAGTCCCCTTCCTTCTGCCTCCCAAAACCACTGCCCAGGGATGGCATCATAGGTGGGGTGCTCACAATCAATAAATGGGACCTCCTGAAACTGAAAAGCTTTTGTAAAGCAAAGGACATGATCAACAAGACAAAATGGCAGCCTACAGAATGGGAAAAGATCTTCACCAACCCCACATCAGACAGAGGTCTGATCTCCAGAATATACAAAGAACTCAAGAAATTGGTCATCAAAAGAACAAGTAAAAAAAAAAAAATGGAGTACAGACCTAAACAGAGAATTCTCAACAGAGGAATCTAAAATGGCTGAAAGACACCTAAGGAAATGCTCAACATCCTCAGTCATCAGAGAAATGCAAATCAAAACAACTCTGAGATTCCATCTTACATCTGTAAGAATGGCCAAGATCAAAAACACTGATGACAACTTATGCTGGAGAGGTTGTGGGGTAAGGGGAACACCCTGCATTGCTGGTGGGAATGCAAGCTGGTACAGCACCTTTGGATATCAGTAGGGCGATTTCTCAGAAAATTAGGAAACAACCTACCTCAAGACCCAGTAATACCACTTTTGGGTGTATATCCAAAGGATGCTCAATTGTGCCACAACGACATGTGCTCAACTATGTTCATAGCAGCTTTGTTTGTCATAGCCAGAACCTGGAAACAACCTAAATGCCCCTTTACGGAAGAATGGATAAGGAAAATGTGGTATATTTACACAATGGAGTACTACACAGCAGAAAAAAATAATGACATCTTGAATTTTGCAGGCAAATGGGTAGAGCTAGAAAACATCATTTTGAGTGAGGTAACCCAGACACAGAAAGACAATTATCACATGTACTCATTCATACTTTAAACATAAAGCAAAGAAAATCAGCCTAGAAATCACAACCCCAGAGAACCTAGACAACAATGAGGACTCTAAGAGAGACTTACATAGATCTAATCTACATGGGAAGTAGAAAACACAAGATCTCCTGAGTAAATTGGGAGCATAGGTACCTCGGGAGATGGTTGAAGGGTAGGGGAGAAGAAGGGAGGGGAGCAGAGAAAAATGTAGTGCTCAATAAAAATTAATTAAAAAAAGAAGAACCAGTTCTTCCCTATTTAAGAAAATATGTATATACACATTCTTTTACTTCATTTTTAAATATGTAATCTTACATGTAATTTTTTTTAAATTTTGTTTTGTAGTATCATTGTTTAGGATCAGATTTCATATTTTTCCCAATGCAATGTTTAGTTTTAATTGTCTATTTGATATGATGAAGAATCAAGTGGAATAGAGCCTCAGCAAGGGACTGTCTGGGTCTGGGCATGTCTGTTGGGAACCTTCTTTATTTCCTCAATTGATGTGGAAGAACTCTGCATACTGTGGGCAACACAGCTCTTTAGGTTTGGCTCCTGATTATATTTGAGTAGAGAAAGTGATCTGAGCAGCAGCTACACCTGCTTCTGAGTGTAGATGTGGTGTGTCGAGAGGCTTCACACTCCTGCTGCCTTGCCTCTGGGTTCCCACATCAGGTGGCTCACAACCTCCTGTAATTCCAGGGGATCTGTCTCTGGCCTCCACCAGCACCTTCATGCAAGAGGTGCGCAAAACCCCCTGCAGGCACACATGTATAAAAGTTAATCAATCAATCAATCAATCATTTTTTATTAAGGAAAGATTATTTATTAGACACTTATCATTTAGGCAGGTACCTTGTACATATCCTTTATCACTCTTATTACTACAGCAACCCTGTAACCTGTGTGGTTATTATTACTGCTGTTTCCTATGCCTCAAAGAGGAAAAAGGGGATTTAGAACATAAAAGTAACTTGCAAAAGAGGAAATGCCCCATGACCAGAAACCCCAGTGCTAGCTAGGATTCAGACTACCACTGGCTCCAGAACCCTGGATTATGCATGGTTTCCTATGTCGCCACAGTGCTCAAGAGTGATAGAGTCCTACCTAGCAGCAGAAGACATGGAGGCAGAGGAAAAATTCAGTAGTATGTCTGAGGAGGAGATGCCCTGCGTGTGGAGAAGGAGCAATGCCTTGATCTGAAGCAAAGGTCTCTGGGAAGGAGGAGGACACACGCTGAGGTTGAGGTACTTGCTCTGTGTGTGTGTGTGTGTGTGTGTGCGCGCGCGCGTGTGTGTGTGTGTGTGTGTGTGTAATGCTAAATGAAGAGTGTGTGCAGGGAAAGAACCAAGAGTGCAATGGAGAGAGTTGGAGATGACTGCAATGAAAAATTCCCCTTTCCTCCCCTACTTTCAAGCAACATGTACCTGCTTCTGGGCCACAGAGTTCTTCAATGGCTCTGTCTGTGTAATCTTCATGCTCCTTTATAGGTCTGTACTCCTGAAACTTCACGCCATCTTCAAAGCTCAAAGTGTCATTTAGTTTATCCATTACCTAAAGAAATTTCACAATTTTTCATGAGTAAAAAGCCATATTGAGAGTTAAATGCATTAATATGTGTGTGTCCCCAAATATTCATTTCCAAGCTACATGGTGTGTAATATACGTATCTGTATACATGCATATATATAATATAGATATCTGTTAAACAAATCCATATTATTTTAAAGGTGAAACCATTTTGACTGAGACAGAAACAGCAATGTTTTCATCTCTTCTTGCAAATGGCAGCCAGCCCTGATCACGGAACAACTTGATTTCTACCTTCCAAATTGCACTACCCTCTTCAGGGTTTCCTTATCCACTTCCTATTCTCAGTATCCAACACAAAAGTCTTTTTCTTCTTCTTTTTAAAAAATATTTACTTACTTTTGTTTTAGGTGTATGAGTGTTTTATCTACATGTATGTCTATATACCACTTGTGTGTCTGGTGCCCAAGATGACCATAAGAGGGTGCTGAATCCCCTGGAACTGGCATTAGACATGACGGTGGGATGTCACATGGACAGGGAATCAAATGTCCCAGGTCCTCTGGAAGAGAAACTACTGCTCTTAAGCACTGAGCCCTCTCTCCAGCTCCCTTATTTTTCTTCCTAAGCTGGGGCCTCACGATGGTACCCGCAGTGTTCTGGAATTCCCTACCTCATCCTCCCTCAGCTTCCTCAGTAGTTGACACCATGGACACCAAGCGCACTGAACTTTACAACCAAGTTGATTAGGTCCTAAAACTGCCCCAATACTAAAATGGTCATTTTGTTTTCAGGAACAGAAAACTGAAAAAGGAAGACCATCCTAGCAGCTAAAGCCATTTTCTCAAGCTAACCTCAGCACCTCACATCATGGAAGTCATGTGATGTACCCCTCCCCAGAGCTTTTCTGCTCAGATCCCACAGCTCTGGGGCATTAGAGACCAAATGGTTGAGTAAACACTCGCTCCCGCCATGCTAATGAAGTCACTATGTACAAAATATTTGTAAAGCTACAGTGACATAAAAACTGGGAGGGCTCAACCCTGACTACTACACAGGTTAGCACGCTCTACCATTGACTTGCATTCCCAGCCCCCAAGAGATGTAAGAGGATAGAGACCATGAGATGGCTGAGGATAGCCCATTGATCATGAGAGGGCTGGGGGACAGCTCAGTGACAGAGAATTTTCCTTGCACAGTACATAAGTTCTAATCTCTAGCAGCACACAGACAAAATGAGCGTCAGGTATGATGTTCATATTTAACTTTTAATAATCTAAAAGATGAATACAGAGGAAATAAAATGGAAAAAATAAATCGGTTAATGTTGGAATTGACATTTGTTGGAAGTTCTGAAGAAAGTTGAAATAATAAAGGGATTAACATTAAGTAATAAAATGAAATCCGGGTGTTTTTCTGCACATGAGCACTTATTGCCACATCAAGGGAGTCCAGATGCACAAGTGAGATTTATCCAAAGGTAGCTGCAAAGTTATTAGATCTAAAGTAATCAAGACCCAAAATAAATGACACTTTCAGATTACTTGCTCAAAGATTTTTAAATCAACATATTAACTGTTGACTATATACCAGGCTTTTTTATTGGCAATAATAAAAAGTTAACATTATCAGGAAAATAACTTATTTATTAAAGAAACATAAATTATAGTAGAATGGTTCATCCAGGGAAATAGTCTCATCTTTTTACATGAGAAGATAAGAAGTCTTTGGAAGGTTCATTTAAGCATCAGACTCCTTGCTTCTAAGTGTATTTAGGAAATTCTCATTATAGCCCGTATAACAATTTCATGAACCTGAAGAAAAACTCTCTTCATCATAGCTGATCAGGGCAATGTGTACATAATGGCATACCTCATTCTCTTGGATGTTGTCATCCTCAGAAATACATTTATCTAGGCTAATTTCAAACTTTACTCCTCTCTAGAATAACAAGAAAAAAACCTTAGTTTATCAATTCAGTAAAACCTTCAAATTACAGCCCCTGAGATCAATTCATGCTGACGGCACACATATAAAGATCATTAGTATCCAATATAAAAGTCTTTTTCCAGTGTATATATTTCTAAAGAAAGAAGAGATGTGCCTATCACTTTAAGACTTGCCTATTAGGGCTGGGAGATGGCTCCTCATGTAAGCTCCCTTGCTGCGGAAGCACGAGGCCCTGCACTGGAACCCCTCTCCTCATCATAAAAGACTGGGAATGGCTGTGTCTGCCTGGAACCGCAACCCTGGGAAACAAACAGGCTGATCCTGGAGCTCTCTGGACAGCTGTCACAGCCTAAACAGTGAGCTTCAGGACTAGTTGTAAACCCTGTCCCTGAGAAATAAGGGAGATGGTACCCCTACATATATGGGGGCAACATTTGCTCATCATGGTTCCAGCTGTTTGTAATAGCCAAAACTATGTAAATATCCATTCATAGTTGAATTGAGAACAAATGTTGATATATTATGCAGTGGGATATGCTCAGCAGGGACCAGGGATGATAAACTCTATGAACACCATAGGTGAAACTCAACACGATTAGCATAATGATGCTTCCTGTTGCATGAAAGAAGCCAGATGAAAAGGGAACCTAAGGGATGGTGGCTTTTATGTGCTGTGCTCTCGTCTAGAAAATGAAGACTAGACGATTGTGGCAGAAAGCTCACGAGCAGCCGCCTAGAGATGATATGGGAGTGGAGGGTGGGAGGAACAGGAAAGGAAATGGCAGGATAGCACCTGAGCTTTGGAGAAGGTCCCCACCCCACTACGCCCTCACTGGAATGCTCACACACCCCTAGCAATAGCGTCTCTACCTGCGCCGAGGCCTCTTCCTCAGGAACGTCAGGGTGGGCAGGCAGGTGACTCCTCTTCACCAAATAGGTTTTATGACTGAGGTCTGCATTCTCCTTGAGTACGGATTACACACACAGTCAATGAGGTTGGCTCTATAGGCTACTTACTGTCTGTCCCTCTCTGAGAGGGCGAAGAGCTAGTCACAGACACCTCAGAGCTCTCTTGGTTTCTCCTGTACCTTGGAATTGACTTAGTTCTCATCAAATGCTTCTTTCACGGACTCTAGAAATGCCTGCTCGCTGGCCCTGGCCACACCCAATAACCTGAGTTCGATCCCCAGTACCCCAAATAAAGGTAGGAAACAGACAAGGAGGGGTGAACGCCTGCTATTCTGCTTTTCTGGATTCAGACTTCCCATTGCAGAGCCACCAAACATAAGGCTGATGGTGGCACAGGCTCCCCACCGTGAGAGAAGCGCTGCCCTAGAGAGACCCACCCCTTTACCACCAGCACAGGCCCCTGTGTGGCTTTTTTAGAACAAGTCGCTTAGCTCAGACCATCTAAAGTCCACCCCTCTTCTTGGTCCAGCCCCTGCCCTCTGTCCTTCAACTCTTCCACAGAAGCCTTCCTTCTCCTCAGTCATCTCATCTTTGCTCCTCTGCACCTAGGAGGCTCGGCTATGGCAGTCTCATTTCATTCGGTCATACGTGTGTCCTTGTGAGTAGAACTCTATCCGCTGGGAAGCAGATGTGCCAGAGGCATCCCCTTAGCTAGCCTTCGAACTGCTAAGTGGCTCTGGGTGAGTTACAGAGTTTCCTGTGGTAGGACATAAACGAAGCGCACGGCAAAATCTCCACTCACGCTCACTCGTACTAATCTTTGCACATGCGTTTGGAGGTGAGGAAGGCTGGAGGCGGCAGATCTGCCACAGCAGCATGGCAGGTCTATTCGAGGAAGGGCCTGGCGGCGGCGTCTGCAGAGCCCAGCAGACCTCAGAAAAGGAGCCATCCAGGGTGTGGTGAGGATTCATAGTGTCACAATACTTGCATGTTTTCACACAGCAGGTCAAATGCAGGCTAGCTAAGTCATCTCCTGAAGAGACGGCCATCTGCAGCACTCCAGAAGCCTGGGAAGTGCAGCACCATTGTGGGGTTTTTAAGAATGACGTCAGCTGTGACCCAGACTTTGCCTTACATAGTCTCGTAAATGAAAGAATGTTCTGGGAAATATGAGCACCATAGCATGTACGTATACAGACTAAGGTGGCAGTGACGTCAGACAATAGAGTCTTGTGAGGCCACCATTTTTCACATGGTATATCATTAACCTCAAATATCATAACTCCAGATGTGTAGATCCCAACACAAGCCAAGGACAGCCAGGACAATATGCCTCCTCCAGAAGCCATTATGCCCTATGATAACTTAACGGTCATTGCTAATATAATATATCGTTATATATTATTACCAATATAGTATCCCCCCAAAAGGAAAAGTGACACTGCACATGACCACATAGACTTGGAGCCCCTGCTCACAGCCTCTGGCCCCTTTCACTCCCCTTATGGCCATAAGAGTATACTCGTTTTGGACTTTCTGCATCTATCCAGTTCTGTCCTAAGGCAGCTGCTCAGTAAACACTGGCTTTCTGATCCGAAGAAGACAATATGTATTTTAAAGAACAGCGCTTCCTAATTAAGACCTCACATCTTGTCATCATCCTGTGTGGCCTCCAGTAAACCATCATGCTAATCTTCTGTGAGGTCTGACAGCTTTCCTATAGAGAAAGAAACCCAAGAATCACCTCTTTCTCATTTCCTGTGAGGAGATTGTGTTCTCCTCACCTGTCCATGTTTCTGTGTATATGTGTCTCTGTGTGTGTATACATGAGTGTGTATCCATCTGTGTATGTGTGGGCATGTGTGCCTGCTTGGATGCATGGGCATGTGTGTGAATGTGTGTGGATGTGAGTCCATGTTTGTGTGTGCATGCTTACATGCATGCATGTGGATATGAGTGTGTGTACATGTGTGCATGCTTGCATGCTTGTGTGTAGACGTGTGTGTAGGTGCATGTTCATGTGTGTAAATGAACATATGTGTATGTGCACGTGTGTGTGTGTGCTTGCATGTATACACAGCCCACTCTTGGGTCTTGGCTGCTTGGGTTTTGGAAACAACTTTCAGCCCTTCCTTCTACTGTTCCCAGTCCTTCGTGACTCTGTCTACTCACAGAACCTCTCTCCACCAAAGCTGACAGCCTAGTTTTAAATATTAAATTGCTTTTACTATTTAGTCATTTTGTCACCTCTAAATCAATAGACTAATGTTCCCTCTAATAGACTGACTTTACCTTCAGCTCTCGCCCCATCCTCTTTTTAATTTCCTTCATATCACTGTGGTACTGTTGGCGGATTTCCTCCAGCTGTTTCCAATATTCCTGAAAAGCAAAACCAATCTAAAACTTGAAAATAATCTCTACAAGGCCTAAAATTTTGAAATATGTAATATAAGTAATTATTAGAAAACTAGTTGTTTCTAAATGCACTGATATGCTCACTTTGGCTGTGCTACTTCATAGCTTGGGAAGAATACACTAGTATGGGACAGAGACCTTTGTTTTATTACAATTCCGAATCACATGCAGCTGCTCTGTATATTCAGTTTTTGCATTAATTGAACATGTTGCCCCTCAAAAGATGTGTAGAAGCTGGTGTGCACACCTTTAGTCCTAACTACAGGGAGAGGTGAGATGGGAGGATTACTTGAGCTTAAGAGTTCATGAGTAGCCCGGGTATCATGCAGACCATTCATCATCATTATCATCACCATCATAGTCAACATCATCGTCACCATCACCATCATCAACATCACTATCATCATCACCATCATCTATCATCATCATCACTATCATTATTACCATCATCAGCCACAATATCATCATCATTATCATCACCATCATTGTCACCGTCACCATCACCATCATCATTGTCACCATCATCATCACCACATCCATCATCATCATCACTATCATTATTACCATCATCAGATGCAATATCATCATCATCATCACCATCATCGCCATCACCACATCCACAGAAGTCTTATCACCCATTGCCCCAGAATGGGATGTGTTTGGAAACAGGGTCTTTGCAGATGTAATTAGTTAAAGTGAAGTCGTGCTGGGATAGAGTGTGCCCCTTAATGAATATTAATAGATGCCTTTTGAGAAGATGAGCAGAGCCCACTCCCATCCACTAGGGACTTGGCTGTTTGGTGTGGACCCAGGGTCCCTCTAGTTCTTCTTGGAAACACCTTTCAGCCCTTCCTTCTGCCATCTCCAGTCCTTTGTGACTCTGCCTATCCACAGATCCTCTCTCCACCAGGAACCCAACGCTGCCAGACTAGGCTGGGACTCAGGTAGGGGACCTTCATCCTCCTTCCTATCCTCCATTACAGCCTCTCCAGACTTACTCTTAGTCCTGCAGCAGCCTGCACTCAGGAACCCCTCCTCCCAGATCATCTCCATCCTCTTGGCATTCAGCCTCTTGATGCAAACCCAGGGTCTCTCTGGTTCTTCCCCACAGCCTCTCTCAACATTTCCTTCCAGAGACTCCACAACCAGCACCCGCGGCTAGGACTCAGATTGACCAATAGTAATAAAGAACTGAGCATCTATCTGATAAAGACTACACCCGAAATATACACCAAGGAGCACCTTAAACATCATAACTCCTGATGCCTAGATCCCAGCAAACACACCTACACACACACACACACACACACACACACACACACACACACACACACGAACAGCCAAGACAATACACCCCCTCCAGAAGCCAGCAACCCTACTGTGTACAGGCTTCTAGGCTCGAGCCCATGATGACCCACACTGGTTCTGGTCTTCAGCCTCCAAAATCACAAACTGATGTTACTGCTGTTTTAAGCTATCCCTTTTACTGTAGTTCATCAATAGCTGTAAAAGACGTAATAAAAAAAATCGCTTTATCAAATGTTTTGTATACTCAGTTCTCTGTGTCCACAGGGAGGCTGGAAGCAAAGATGACATATGGCAGAAAAGTCTGCAGTGTGAAAGACCATGACACACACACACACAATGGTAGAACTGGAAATTTTAAACCTGGTCCTTCATTTTGTTCTTCCTATACTGAAGCTCCTGGAGTTTAGTCTCCTCTCTGTGGCTTTGTAAGTTTTCTCTCTCGTTGGGATGTGGCTCAGCAGAAGATGGACGAAGACCCTGTTTATGAACGAAAAGAATTTATAAAGGCCTACTTGCATATTCTGGCTTAATCCAGACTATTTTCTCGAGACAAGAAGTACATCACCAAGCAGTCTGCGCGGGAGATTGCTTAGCGAGGAGCAGAACTGTCTTAACTGAAATATGAAATGCTTTCAGCAGCATTTTGAAGTTGTTTCTAAACAACAGTTGTTTTCATGCTATGACTTGGGTCCATTTGCTGAACTGGTCAGTTGTGGCTGTCAGGTCAAGCACCTCTGAGGTTTAGCAACCCTGGGGTGTGATAGCGACAATAAGAACTTGTACAGCTGAACAATTCAAAAGAAGAGCAATAGAAGCCAGGCCTGGTGGCCCATGCCTGTACTCCCCACCAGGAGGCTGAGGCAGGAGGTTCAGCAAGAGCTGGAAGTCGGCTTGCTATACATAATGAGGTCTGGGCCAATCCTGGGCTGTATAGCGAGATTCTGTCTATAAATAAAAGGTGAAAATGGCCTTGGTTTTTATAGCAGAATGAATTAGGACACATTGATGTCTGAGGGCAGAGAAACTTTGAGGAAACCCCTGAGCACAGTTGGAGTCTCACTCACCAATTGTCTTTCCACTTTTAACTTATACTGCTGAGCTTCAAGTCTCCTCTGAAGGTATGCAGCAGACCTGAGAAAATAAAATGTTCCACTTGGACATAATCCCCTCTCTGTCTCTCTCTCTCTCTGTTTCTCTCTCTCTCTCTCTGTTTCTCTCTCTCTCTCTGTTTCTCTCTCTCTCTCTCTCTCTCTCTCTCTCTCTCTCTCTCTCTCCCTCTCTCTTTCCTTCCTTCCTCCCTCCCTCCCTCTCTCCCTTCCTTTTGTCTTTTGTGGTGGTGGGGATTGGCGCATGTTCTAATGCTCAACTCCAATCCTCCAGCCCGTGAGTAAGTATTCTCACTAACTATCTCAGGTACCAAATTGATGGGTGGGTTTTCACCTCAGTGATAGAACTCTTAACTCATCTGTAGTATGAAGTTCAAAGTTACAGAATGCAACATCAGGAGAGAAAGGCTTTGGAATCAAGAGGAAAAATAATAAATAAATAAAATGCTTTTTAAAAGGAATGAAAATGAATATATGAGGAGACCCAGAGCAGACACCTTGTGATAAAGGTGAAGATTAAAGGCAGGTGATGATGGCGCACACCCTTAATCCCAGCATTCTGTGAGTTTGAGACCAGCTTGGTCTGCAGGGCGAGTTCCAGATCAATCAGGCCTACATAGAGAAACCCTGCCTTGAAAAAAAAAAGAAGAAAGGGAGGAAGAAAGGAAGGAAGGAAGGAAGGAAGGAAGGAAGGAAGGAAGGAAGGAAGGAAGGAAGGAAGGAAAGAAAGAGAAAAAAAGTGAAGGTAAGAGTTTTGCTACTGCAAACCATAGAATGGCACAGATTGCCTAGAAATCCCCCAAAGCAGAGAGGGCTCTTCACGAACAGACTCAGTGGGTAAGGGTGCCTGCCGCCAAGCCTGACAATCGACTTCAATGCTTGGTACCCACATGGAGGAAAGAATAGCCACCCCTGCAAACTGTCTCTGATCTCCATGCACACCCATGCACAGGATTAATTTTAAAAGGAAGTGGGGGAGCCTCAGTTAGGGATGCTGAAAAGATTCTCTAACCTAATGACTTTCTCCAGGGCAGGATTTGGTCTTCCTGTCCTCAGATTTGGTGAGGGGAAGGAAACAGCCAGGCCTGGCTTTTCTCCGGTTTTGTGGGATGACTAATCCACATCTCACTGCTCCCCCATGACATGCTGCTTGTCTGTTCCCTGCACACACAGGAGCTCCAGAGAGCAGGGTGTGGTCCAGCCCTTTTCCCTCTAAATGAATGAGGAGGTGATGCTACGCCCTGTGGGGACATTTAAGGAGACTGTCAGCACATCCCGGTTAGGTCTGGTCAAATCACTGTCAGACTTACGCCTATGCCCTTCCTTCTGCCTCCCCCTTCTCTCCTGCCATTGTGTAAAACCGGTCTCTAGGTGGCCCATATGGACCTCAAATTCACAATCTTCTTGCCTCTGTCTCCCAGGGGAAGGGATTGCAGGCCCGCACCACCGTGGGACTAGCTATCCTTATCTTTTTAAAGAATGCTCAAAACCCTGGATTAGAATAATTTAAAACCAAAATGAAACAATTTGAGTGTTTAAAAATTTTCCAGACCACTAATATTGACATAAGAACAAGTGAGCTGTGTCCCATGGAAAGTCACTTGGCTTTGATGGTCTACACCAGGAAGAGAAACAGTGACAAAGTACCATAGCATATGTCTTGAATAGAAAAAAATATGCTTCTAGTATTATTTTATATATTTATAGCAATAACTGCATTTTAATTTTTATTTATTTTTTAGAAAGAGTCTCATGTATTCCAGATTAGCTTCAAACTCTCCACTGAGCACCCCAGAGCTTCAGCTGATTCTTGATACCTGACTGATTTGTTCTCCTTACTTATTATCCCCACCAAACACTACCTGCATTCTTTGAATTACATCTGAGTTCTCACACTACTTTTTATTAGGTCCAAGATCCAAACTTCAGCTCCAATGGGCTTTGCAAAGTAAGTCTCAATGGGCAGTGCACCTTTTCTGTTATAGAATAAACATCACCCCATGAGAGCACAATAACTCATGATCTATGAATAGTCTACTCTGGTCTCCTCTGGACCCCCCATCACTTCGCGTCAACAAAAAGTAAGCTTTGATTTAGCCACATCAAGCATGTGTACTAGCAAGTCATGTTCTGTGACGGTTTCCTAACTAAGGAGAAGAAAGGAGCTGAGTTCCCCAGGTCACCTCCGAGCTAGATAGACAACTTCTTAGGAACATCATTTCTACCCATATAAGCAGATGATTTCAGGGTTGTTGATACACTTATATATTTTTTTTTTTTTTTAGTTTTTCGAGACAGGGTTTCTCTGTAGCTTTTGGAGCCTGTCCTGGAACTAGCTCTGTAGACCAGGCTGGCCTCGAACTCACAGAGATTCGCCTGCCTCTGCCTCCCGAGTGCTGGGATTAAAGGCGTGCGCCACCACCGCCCGGCTTACACTTATATTTTCTAACTGTCCACATTCATCACACTTACCGGAATTTCTTCCATGAGTATCAGCAATATGTCAAAACTCATGGTGTGATACACACATAATAAATTTTTTTTTTACATAACACAATTAGGGTGCTGGAATCTCAATAAAGCTTGAGACAATCACAGCCTACACAGTGGTGTGAAAACCCAGTCACACTTATGAATCAAACAAGGATATAGATATTCCTCTTTCTGTTTCTTCCATGCTAAAGATTGAACCAGGGCATCTTGCATGCTAGCCAAGGACTAACCACTGGGAAACAGCACTAACCCCAAAGAGTTGAACTTTGCACTTGTTTTTGAGAGGGTATCACAAGATAACTTTGGACTTTTTTAAATCAGGGTCAGACATAGCTTAGGTAGGCCTAGCAGTTGTGATCCAAGCAGTTGTGATCCTTTTGCCTCAGTTTCCCAAATTCTGGGATCACAGGTTTGGTGATGCTCTGCTAAGAATTGACTAGGGGGTTTTATTATTTCATTTTTCTGATGAACTCTAGGTCTTGTGCAAGCTAGTTCAGTAGTATTCCACGAAGCTCCACTCCCAGACACCACAGATGCTCTCTGAGTACATGGCTACATGATCCTTACCATGGACTACCTCCCCAGCGAGATGCGAGACCAATAGCCGCGTTCTGCATATAAGCATGGGACTCAATTCTTCTTGAATGGACCTAAAATCAAATATATGTGTCGATGACTGATCATCTACAATCTCTACCAAAACCTGGAGTCACCCCCAAACGTACCTCAGGAGAGAAGTGTCGGGCAATAAGAGTTTCTAAAAAAGGCCTTTTCAAAAGAGAGTTAACAGATGGTCGATCCTGAGGACACACTTTAAAGAGCTGAGGTATCAAGGACTGTAGGTCAGGAGAAAAGTGGGGTGATATGGGAGCGACACGACCTTGACAAATCTTCAGAACAAGATGGTGTAAGTTGTTACTCTCAAACTGAAAGGGCAAGGATAATTATACCACATTAGAGACAAGCTGAGTACTAGTAGTTAAAGTAATGAATATACCAAGAGACAAAAGATGTCTGACTGTAATCTATCAATGTGTCTGTCTGTCTGTCTATCAATGTATGTATGTATTATGTATCTGTCGTCTGTCTTTCTGCCTATCAATGTATCTATCCATCTATCTATCATCCACCTACCTACATATCTTCTCTCTACCTTCCTTCTGTCCGTCTCTCATTGTGTTTAGCATGGGCAGTGTCCTGAGCATGCCAGGCAGTTGCCCTATCCTTGAGCTGCACCCCAGCCTATGCACTTTCCTAAGCTGCAGTCTGCCGCACTATGCTCTGCCCGATCTTGTCATCAACCGTCTCCTGAGTGCATTTCAGGCAGCTACTCTGAGAGGCTGTGCTGCTCAAAACCAGATGTATAGCTTTAATAATTTCATTTTGCTTTTGGTGCTGCCAACTGAATGCGGGGCCCTCCATTTATGCCATATGTGATCTACCTATGAACACACCTCTAGTCCCTAATTTTAATTTTTTTAGCAAAAAAGTTTCCTTTTTTTTTTTTTTTTTTTTTTTT